AAGAGGATAAAAATTGATTAAAATTTGCACAAATCAATACAAATTAATATAAATCCAAACAAATGACAAAATGGAATAATAATATAAGATGTACCATCTTTTTCAAGACCAGTACTTATGAGCCTCTAGATCGATGTGGAACCATGGATTTCAATATAAGGAAATATGCTTTGAATTGTAAATAATTATATAATTTATCGATAAAATATTAAAATTTAAATTTTAGTATTTTTTATTATAAATAAAATTAAACGAATCTTTGAATTAAGTTTATCTTATAGGAATTTAGATTAATTAAGTAATGGCCTAAAGATTAGAATTAAAGTCACAATGCTCAAAAAGCTTTAATTAAATTTAGTGATCATATTTTTATATTATATAAAATATTAAAATTTATGTATTTATATCGTATTTTATACGAAAATTACGTGTTATAATTTATATTTATATAAAAATATGAAAATTTTTTTAATTTTATTAAACATATATATAATTATTCATTGATTATGAAAGAAGCCAAGTGGTTCTCCAATTAACTCATTCAGCTCCACAAATATCTCCCAACCATCTCTTAGCCACTTCATATATATATATATATATATATATATATATATGTACTTGTTTTGTTTTCCAACGTGATAAATGTAAACTGTTGCACTTTTTTCCCAATTGATCCTATTGCAAATTACTTTCTTGTTCTACTTTCTTTTGTAGATGAATATACAATGCAGATGTTGGCAATCAAAGATTTCTAATACCCTCAGCAGTCAAATCCCAAAGAGTAAGAGTTTCGACAGATATGTGGAAGATGATCTAACCATGGCAGATGTTGGCAATCGCTATAATTAATTACTTATATGAATTTTAAGTAAATTCGTGATGGAAAATAAGCCAACTCGAAATCCTTGTTCCCTTGTATCCTTCTATCTTCAACTCTTTCAAGTTTTGGTGTTGCTTAATATTGTTGAACATTAGCTTTTTTTTTGTTTTTTTGTTTTTTTTTTTTTTTCATACGAGGCTACAACTTGGGATAGAAAAAATAGTAGTTGTGGATGACAACGGATCTAGTGATGGCAACGGGTCGGGACGGGATGGGTTTTTGCTCGCTCCGAATCTGACCCGATTTTAAATATATAATACCCGAACTCGTACCCGACTCGATAATTTTTTTATTTTTAATACCCGACCCGACCCGAAATTAATAAAATATTATTTTAAATATAAATATAAAATTAAATATATAAAAAAAAATATATAATTAAATATAAAATTAAAAAAATAATTTTTTTATATATATCGGGTCGGGTTTGCCTAAAACCCGACCCCAACCCGAACCCGAAATTTTTTTACCATACCCGACCCCGACCCGAACAGATACGCGATTTTTTTTAAAAAAAAAAAATCGACTCTAAGCTGTCAGGTCGAGTCGAAACCCGACGAGTTCGGGTGTTTTTGCCTTCTCTAAGCGGATCCAATTGGATGGGTTTTTATTTGATTCGACTTTAATCTCTTAATATTTATAATTAATTTTAATTCGATATTAAAATATTATTTTTTATATTTGACCCGATTTATATATTTATAAACCATAATCAATCTAATTTGAAATTAATTGAATAATTTAAATTTAATATAATATTTATAAAATATTATTTTTTAATATAAATTATATCTTAATTATATATAAATATATTATTTATTAAGTTTATATCTTAAATTAAAGTATTAAATAATAATTTTATTAATATAATATATATAAATATATATTAAAAAAATAATAAAAAAACATATTTGATATATATTCGAGTTAATTCAAAGTGATACCACCTAAAACCTAACTCCGATTCAAACCCGACCTTTAAGAAAAAATCTAACTCGACTCTTAATTTTTTAAAAAATATCCAGACAGATTAGAATTTGTAGAGTAAAGATTATTTTGTTATCTCTAATTATAATACAGTATGAAGATAAGAAAAAAAATTATAGGTACTGAAATTTAAACTTTAAATTTATTAAATGTTACCTCTTAAATAGATTCATGAACCAACTTTCGGATTTAGCAACTCGTCCATTTCACCAACTCTATCTTTGATAAATCCCCAATACAATTCCAATGACTATAGTCCTCCCCTTTCCTTTCCATAGGTTCTAATTCCACATTCTGCACCATCCCTAAGTTTATAACTTTTAAATGGCCTCCATGGCTATTCGGGTCCCTCAATTCATTCAATGTGGCATAGATGCAAATGTCTTTATTCAATGTGGAAATTCCCTGCTACAAAGAAGAACAAACCTGCAGATAAAGCAGGAAAAATAGCAATCGCAAAAGGGAAAACTACAGCAACAATGCTAAACAAAAATTGCAGAACTGAACTCCCAATTCGGATTTTTCATTTATTATTTGTTACTGTAGTTAGGTTTTTAGGGCCGGCCAAAAGGGTGTATGTGTGTGTGTGTGTATATATATTTGTATTTGAGGTTGTCCAGGATTGAACCTAATCACTATAACTAGAATCCAACACTTATTACTCCATTGGTTCTTTTAGTGCAAGTTAATATTGACAGGTCTGGCCAATGGAGAGTGCAATGTTCTTGTTGGGGATGCAAAATTATTTTGAAGTACATTCTCAATTTGATAATTTTGATATAGAATGTAAAAAGTCATACAAGAACAAACCTTGAATATCTCAACTTTATATTTCAATTCCCCTTGTTGTATGTAATAACACCGAAATAAATGGAAACAAGATATGTTTTGCTTTCTTTTCGAGTTAAAAAAGTAGTGAATTTCAGCTGTTGCTGGCCCTGAAAGCTTCGTTCAGCCAAATTCAAGAACAAAGTTCAACAATCTAACTCTACCATAAATGACATCAACTTTCTTGAATCTGATTTGTTTCTTTCTATTAGAAGTAATGGCTTCGGAAGTGATCCTGATATCTTATCAGACTTCTTAACCCTTGCAAACTCAACAGCCCCTGATGGAAATTTCTTCACTTTTCACAGGATTTCGAGGGATATTTCATAGAGATTATCCAACAAACTTCAAGGTTACAAAAGCTAGCATGGCAGAATTCCTTGCCCTTAATGGCCACGGCGTCTCGTTTGCCACTTTGGAGTTCCCCACAGGCACCCTCAATCCACCTGATATTCATCCTCGTTCCGCTGAGCTCCTTATCGTTGTCGATGGAAGCCTTGAGGTTGGTTTCGTTAACACGACCGGCAAACTTTACACCCAAACCCTTCAGGTTGCGGATATCTTTCTGTTTCCGAAAGGACTAGTGCATTACCAATACAATCCTAGCTCTTATCAACCTGCCATGGCTGTTTTGGCCTTTGGCAGTGCAAATGCTGGGTATCGATGATGATGTCCTAGCCAAAGGCTTTAAAACTGATGTTGCTACTATTCAGAAGATCAAGGCTGGTCTTGGAGCCAAGGCCAAAAATTGAAGCCCCATCTCATTCTTCAAGTAATAAATGGCTAGCCAGCTACCATTGCAGTAAAATAATTCATGATCTTTATTTGATTCTTCCTCCATGTTGTCTGTAAATGGCACTATATTTGAGTTTCATTAATTGCTTTATATATATTGTTACATTTGGTCTTTGGTCTGATTAAACCTTGTGGAAAGGAAATCCTTGGCTTAATTTTATTTTTTTTGTTGCTTTTTTATTCTTAGATTTTCTCCTGGTTTCATAACTGAATCATTCAAAGGAAACCATAGAAATTTTACGTTTAGAAACTTTAGTTGCAAATTCTCTTCTTTTAAGGTAAAGCCTAATTTCAAAATGTTCCATTTGGCTGCAAGGAAATTGAAGATAAGGATAACATTTTTGCCCACCGTATGAACAGTGAACAATCAAGCACTAATTAAAGGTTCATTTAAATAAATGACGAGATTGATTATGATAAGATTAAAAGTAATAGTAACAGTAAAATTAGTTATCGTAATAATTAAACAAAATATTGTGTAGTAAAATTAAAATCAATAATAAAAATATATATTTAAATACAATAACAAAGATAATAAGATTAAATATGACGGTCCATTGTTCCATAAAAAACATTCGACTATCATAATTGAAAAATATCTATTATTTCAATTTTATACTAAGATAATTAACTAACTAAGGGTTCAATATTTTATTAGACCATTCTCCCTCTACTGAAAACTAGAGGAGCAATACAGTTGGGGGCTCTGGTGCAGTAGAATTCAAATAAATAGCTTAATTGGTTCATATTCCTTTGGTAGTACTTTTTTTTCTAATCATTAATTGAATATCGCTCAAGAAACATACGGACAAGTCTACATCAATCGTGATTTTCTAAAGGGTCCAAAAAAAAAAAAAATTGGCTCGTAAACTTAGTCCCTCCTTTTTGTACTAGGATCCGAGTTTTTCTTCACCATTATGATTCAGTTGCTTGTTTTTATAGTAACTCTTTTCCAATAACATCATGCTGTACTTTATTGACCACCAAGGAGATCTTTCTGCTAGAAATAAAATCAAACAATTTGAATTTAATTTCTTTGATGTTATTAATTTTCAGCCATAGGCTTCTGGCAATCTAGACCATAGAAGACATGAAATGAAACTCTGCAGGTTCTATTGTAGGCTCAGCCTTCCTAATATACACCAGGGACCTCAAGGCAAGGGTGGTTTAAGTATGAAAGTTTTGAACTCTAATCTAAATGTGGAGGCTTTTTTTTTTTTCATAATCTTCATCCATGGCACTTTTGCACTGTCTTTTTTGGCCACAGACAGGATTTATTCTATAACATGTTTCCAAACCTTGAGTTGATCTTGGAATAGGATTCACACTATAACATGCTAATTAACAAATTAAACTATACCAAGGCGGATTCAAATGAGACATCTCAAAGAGTGAAAAATAAGAAAATTTTTTCTAGGCACCTCAAAAATTTTTTATTGGACATCTTTTTCGTTGATCAAATTGATAAAGCCATTTATATAGCTGCAGAAATCAGGAATGGGTTCATTACATCTTGATGGCTAATTTTATGAGGTAATTAAGTCACTTTAACAGAAGAAAACAAAATGATGACTTCCCATTTTGCAACAGAACAAGACAAACATACATGTCTGACTCTTAAAACCCAAAAGTGGAAATGGTTATTGTAGTTCGGAACCCCATCTCATGCCTTAGGTGCAATCCCAGCTTTGAGTTTTCGAATGGTGGCAACATTGGTTTTGAAAGAGTTGGCTAAGATCTGATCATCGATGCCTGTCGCAAACAGTGTAGAAGGAACCGAGACAGTGCCGGCAGCTGCACTACCAAAGGCGGAAATCGCAATGGCAAAGTCTTTCTCATCACAGTTAAACTGATAGTGAACCAATCCCTTAGGAAACAAAAACATGTCACCAGCTTCAAGTCTTTGTGTAAACAGCTTGTTCGTAGTGTCAACAAATCCAACTTCAAGGGTCCCGTATGCGAGAAACAAGAGCTCGGCGGCACGGGGATGAGTGTGAGGAGGGTTAACTGAACCAGCTGAATACTGTAAAACAGCATAAGAAACACTTTGTCCATTAAGGGCAGGGAATTCGGCCATGGTTGCTTTTGTTACTGAGAAATTTGTTGGTGGACCAGAGGTCACAAGTGGCCTCATGCCAGTATAGGTGAAAAACGTTCCATCCAATTGAGTAGCATTGATTCCAACTGGGACAACAAAATCAGAGATAATATCTGGATCTCCACTTATTGCTAATAAAGGGAAGGCAAGAACTAGTGCTGCTATGAAGAATTGTTGCTTGACATTCCAGGCCATGGCTGAAAAGTGAAAAACCAGGAAGAAAGAGTAATCAATGAATACTTGACAGTGCATTCATCGAGGTTCTAAATATATACTTGACGGTTCCTTGGTATTGTCGAATAGATTTTGTTTTACAGCTAATCCTTCAAGTTAATGGCAAAGACACAACAGTTGTTACCATGCTAACTATAGGCTCAGTTTTTCTTGTCTATGCTTCCAGGATTTCTTTATATGGAATCTTGGATGTTCTTTTAGCAGATCCATTTGTAAGCATATGATTTAGCTTGGACATATCCATGCATTTCCTGTCTTCATTTAATTGGAAGGAAATCAATTTTATCCTGTAACTCTTGTTTGTTCCATTTGGAAGGCCAATTTAAAATTTTAAAAATAAGTTTTTATGTTCATGGCATGGGAGAATCATTTTGGTATTGAACTGTGAATCAAATCCATAGAAAAAAGAAATCAACTACCTAAATTTGTATTGTCAAATAGATTTTTATTGTAAAATAATGGAAATTTTTATTTTTGTCCAAAATTTTCCACCGATTAATATTAAGAATATTGTTTCTCATTCACATAAGATTCATCATGATAAAATTTAATAAATTTGTTGACAAGAGTTCGCCTAAAAGACTATGGTTATAATGATGAAGCATGGGAGATTAAAAGAAAATTCAATGATATCTAAAAGAATTATATAATAACACTAAAATTAAATTCTGACCTATCTTTGCTTGAAACGTGTCCTCTTGGTTTGGGTGATCTGGGATGCTTGTTAGCTAGGCTTTTTCTTGGGCTTTTATTGGAATGGTCAGATAATTGAAATTGGGCCGCTAGACATCGGTTGGGCGGTCTTGTTCTGAAAATGCAAAACGCAGCGTTTTATTACTCCCAAAGAGAAAACAAAGGCCCAAAGCTCTGGGAAATATGAGGTTAAGCTCATCTGACAACTATTTTTTTAGAATTTTTTTTTCATTGACAGGACGCATAATTAACTCAAAATCAGTTGATATGAGTTAACGTGGAGCTTTATATAAATTACATTCACACATTCAAATTTTTTAACGCAGGAAGTTTACTATTTGTGAGGCATGGACCCCTTTTATTTGAGACACTCAAACACTATCTTTGATATATTCAGCATTGATGGTTTGTGAAAACACTTACATTGTTTTATTTTTTTAGAGATAAAATATGCAATTGACTCAAAATCGATTGATATAAATTAACACGAAACTCATATAAATTACACTTGCGCACAATAAAATGACTTTTGACTTTGATCATATTGGTTATTGTAACTAAGGGTGTAAATGATACATTAGTACTCGCAAGCTACTCGGATTCGATTCGAAAAAAACTCGAATTCGATTCGATTATTGTCGAGTCGAGCTCGAGCTCGAGTAGCTCGACTTATCGATCGAGTCGAATTCGAGTATTTTTATATCTGATTCGAATAGCTCGCGAGCCTAATCGAGCTTTTATATTTAAATATATTTTTATTATTTTAATTAATAAAATATTTCGAATCCGAGTTCGAGTTTGAATTCGAGCATGAATAATTGAACTCTTGTCGAGTATACGAATCGAGCTTATTTTTTACATATTAATCGAGCTTAATCGAGCGAGCTCGAGTAGCTCGAATTCGATCACAAATCGAGCTCGAGCTTGAAAAATAAAACTCGATCGAACTCGAGTTGAATATCGAACCCCGAGTTGTGAGTCAAGCTCGAACTCGAGCTTCTCACTATTCGGTTCGGCTCGGCTCGTTTACACCCCTAATTGTAGCCAACTGAAGCATGCTGTCAAAAAATGCAAGTTGGGCAGACAAAAACTTTTCATTACCAATAAGGTCAAGGAAAATATGAATCGTTGCCTGCTTCACTTACATTTTATTATTATTATTTTATCGTGTGCTTCTTGTCCCAATAACAGGTTCAAATTCAACCAAAGAAACTGCTTTTTAGAGTATGATCAATATGCTTGGATCCATCTGTCCGTTGCATCAATGAAAACCATAAAAGTTGCATTTTGGGCATTGATTTGATCTTTGGCACATCTTGTAAACTTTTCATTTCATCATATTGAATGTAATAAAATGTCTTAAATAGAAGATAGTCCAAAAAAAAAAAAAAACTTAAATTCAAGTAAAATTTGAAGATTTTGTGATCATATTATTAGCGTATGCTGGTTTTTTTTAGTAATGATTCCGTGGACTCGAATCCGTAAAAATAAAGGATTTAAAAGAATACCCTAGAGGATGATTAAAACAAAGTGTTTTGCAATTTTCGGATTTAATATTTCTTGTATTTCAATATATATTAATAAATGCCTTCAGTTAATGCTAACCCTTAATATCAGCAATTCAGCATGCTCTGTCATGCTTAAGAATTTCTATTTTGCATCTCTCATCAAAGATGATGTATTACATTAAATTAATAACTCATTTAAGGATGTTTTAGGTTTGAACTTAACATGTGATGATTAAGAATTTCTTATCAAAGTGGTTCATCATGTCACAAACCTGTTAAAAATAGGGGTGCAATTTTTGTAAGAAATTAAAATACGAAGTTGACATTCAATTGTTTTCTGCTTTTAAAATCCCACTATATGAAAAACTGATTAATAATGTTTAAAAGAAACAGAAGCTGACCTTGGTGCTATTAGCAGGAGAACTAGCAGTATCTTCCTACTCAGCATCAATAAAACCAGCTGTTATAGTTCTTATGATCTAAAAAGCTCGAAAAACAAGTTTTGTAGCAGCAGAACAGGCAGCATCAGAAACTAGAGAAGAGGTTTGATAATTGAAATCGGAAAGAAAAGAGCTGTTTTGATCATTGATATCAATATTGTTTTGAGTTGAGAAATCTTTAAACTACATATAGTCCAACTACTCTCCTCAGGAGATTCATTAGCTGCTCCTCCTAGTCCTGGTGATGATATGCTCAAAGAATTCATGGAACTCTCCATATTCTAGCTATTAAAACAAGATATATGGGAGAGATCAGAAAAGATACTAGTTCTGATGAACCCTTATATTTGAGTTTGGAATCTTGGTGGGTTGTGGGCCAAATGGAGAGAGAAGTTAAATTTGGCAGCAAAAGAGGATTGGAGTTTGGCATTTGTGGAAGTAGATTTAGATATGTATGCACCATCAGAGATTTGTTATGCCAAAATTTTCTTAGGCCACTAAATGCGTTGAATCAGTCACTCAATTCGCAATATTGTCTAGCCAATTTTTCCTTTTCATCCCAAGAGATATTCTCCATTGCTTGTTTTGATCTTACCAACTTGGTTTCTTAAAAAATCTTATTTTAGTAGAAATTTTATGATTATAACAAAGTCACCACAAGATTTTGTGATAATTTTTATGAAATCAAGTCCACGTATAAAAACTCTCTCTTTCTCTCTCTATATATATTTATATATATTATTAAGGAAATGATAATTTGAAATAAAAATAAAAAAATATTACAAACATTGAAATTTGAATACAAACTGAGTCATGACTAAATATCATTTCATAAAATCAATGATGGCGTGAATCAAATAAGTTACATATTTGAACTTCATATATTTCGTCAAAGCATGTGCTAAATTTGGCAATCTAATTATGACCTTTCATTAATTATTACATATCAGATTTTCAGGTTTTTTATGAACTTGGTTCCATGAAATCTACTTAATTATTATGAGTTAAGATTTTGTAAATATGATTAAAGCATGTCATGATTTTGTAATAACTCCCTCAAACCAAATTTATGAAATCAAAATTTAGACAAGATAGTGTGATACCCCGATTTTATATTGGAAGATTTTAAAAATCTACTATAATATATACGTAGAGGTTTAAATTTAAATTTATAAAAGTGCTTTTTGTTGGATAAAACTGTGTGACTTTCGAGTAAAAGCAAATTATATCTCATAGATTAGGTGCAGGTCTCTACAAATAATATTAGAGTGGTCACCAGTTAGACGAGAGTTAAGTGCTATACCGTGATAACCACTTCTAGAATTTTGCTATGAAGACCCACACTCAACCTATTATTGTTTGCTTTGATTCGAAGGTCTTACGATTTTATACCACAAAAGGGGCCTCACAAGTTTTAGATTTAGACCTCTATATATATATATCATAGCAGAACTTTAGATTATCCTAATATATGATTGAGGCCTCACAAACTCTCTTTGTTAAAGCTTAACATCCCAGTCAAGTCTAACACAGAGTACAAGATTACACCAAATGTTGGGATTTTAGAGGTGACTCCCATTGTATAGCACTTAGCTCTCACATGATTCTAGAGGTGGCTTTTACGATGTAGCACTTAGCTCCTGTCCGACTGGTGACTACTTTGATATTATTTGTGGAGATTCGCACCCAACTTGAGTGTATTGTCCGCTTTAACTTAAAAGTCTAACAGTTTTATCCCATAAAGGGCATCTCATAAGTTTTGGGTTTAAATTTTTTCATATATATTATAGCAGAATTTCAAATTATCCCAATGTGGGATTGGATTTTATTGTAGCATTAATAAAATCAGCTGTTATAGCTTTTATGATCTAAAAAGCTCCAAAATGGAGTATTGTATAACAATATATAGGCACCATTAAAAACTAGAGAAGAGGTTTGATAATTGATATCAGAAAGAAAAAAGCTATTTTGATCATTCATATCAAAATACATGGTCCAACTACTCTCCTCATGAGATTCATCAGCTGCTCTTCCTTGTCCTGGTGATGATCTGCTAATAGAATTCATGGAACTCTCCATGTTCTAGCTATTAAAACAAGATATATAAGAGAGATTAGAAAAGAGACTAGTTCTGATAAACCTTTATATTTATAGGAGAGACTAGAGAGAAAAATAGTAGAAAATTAAGTTGAGAATAATGGAAGTTTATTTGAGTTTGGAATCTTTGTGGGTTGTGGGCCAAATGGATTGGAGAAAGAAGTTAAATTTGGCTGCAAAAGAGGATTGGGGTTTGACATTTGTGGGAGTAGATTTAGATATGTATGCACCAACAAAGATTTGTTATGCCAAATTTTTCTTAGGCAACTAAAT